ACCAAGACAGAGATTTATCTTTGCCAGTCTGATACAAAAGAACATCTGTGTGCTTTTTCCTCTAAATATTTTGTGACAGAAAACTTCACATTTTACCAAAAAGTTTTGAGTACAGTAAGCTCCCCACCCCATCACTGACTTGAGAAGCTTCTGTTCCGCGGAGCTGTGTGTGCGGAGAGCTGCGCCCAGCCCTCGTCATGACTACTTTTAGTGGTGGTTTTGTTTTGGGTTTTTGTGTGTTTTGGTGGTTGTGAGGCTTGAACGAGGGCCTGGGCACTGTCCTTGAGCTCCTGTGCTCAAGGCTAGCTCTCTACCACTTTGAGCCATAGCACTGCTTCCAGTTTTTGAGTGGTTAATTCAAGATAAAAATCTCACAGGGATTTTTCTGCCCAGGCTGGCTCCAAACCATAATCCTCAGATCTCAGCCTCCTCAGTAGCTAAAATGACAGGCGTGAGCCACCAGCACGCGGCTGAAATGTAAAAACTAGAAAAATCGACAAATGGTCTACTTATGTCACTCCTATAAAAATCTAAAAATGTCCATCAACCCAGGAGTTGCTGTCTCCTACCGAGGGGGCTCATACTCGACCCTGAGACCTGTGGTCCCCACCGACCAGCCCCCTGTGTAGTGCCTGACAGAACCAACAGCACAGTCACATTGTCCACAGGGCCACCTCCCCGCTGCGGGGAGGGCTCCCCTGCTCCGTGTGGCCGGCTGCTCTCAGCGCTGCACAACTTTCCACTATGTGACCACTCTACAGTTAGGGTACCATTCTCCTGCAGCCAGGCACTTGAGTGGAGATCCGCTCGTTGACAGCAACAGCTAAAGCTACCGCACACTTGGCGGGAAGTCTTTGTGGGTGCTCATTGTAGTTCTTGAGTAATGCCCCTCAATGGAATTGTCCAATAACAGGTGCATATTTAAGTTTGTTAGAAATTGCTGGTACTGGTGTGCACATCTGCAATCCCAGGACCTGGAGGGTCAAGCAGAGAGGGTCTCTTGTTCCAGACCAGCCCAGGCTACATGAAATGACCCAGTCTCAAAAAAAAAAAAAAAAAAAAACCCACAAAATGAAACAAACACAAGAAAATGCTAGCATCCGTTCTTCACGGCAATGCCAAGGCCACGGCCCTGCCTGGCCTTGCTGAGCGCATCAAACACCATGTGTTACAGAACAGCGCACGTTACCCAACAGAGCATGATGGCATCTCCGCAGCGTGTGCCGCTCTTCACGGCATGCTGACCAGTGTCCAGCCCTTCACAGAGCTACTGCTGCCCCCCGAGCAGGGCTGCCTGGGAGGGAAAGCAGATGTATTCAAGGGCTGCCCTGGGAGGGTGGGGAACACGGTCACAGTCTAGGCTCTAAGGAGGCATGGAGGTATGGTGGGATAGTGGGCAGGAGGCTGTGCCGTGTGTGTGTGTGTGTGTGTGTGTGTGTGTGTGCGCGCATGCACGTGCACGCTTTCCTCTCACCTCCTGTTGAATGAAGTTCCTGTGGTTTATTTGGTAGTACTGGCTTTGGATCTCTCGGCCTTCCACTTGCTAGGAAGACCTGCTGCCGCGTGAGCCATGCCTGCCACCCTGCTCCTGTGTTTCCTCTAGATGGGTTCCGTGCTTTTCTACAGGGGCCTCCTCAGCGTTTACAGGGCTGTTCAGATCTGAAGAGTTCTGAGCTCCGTGGCTCTAAAAAGGTGACTTGGCACTAACACCCTGATCTGTTACGCTTTAGAAGGCCAGGCGGCAGCTCGGGAAGCTCTGCCGGGGACATCTGGCAAGGGAGTGGGCACACAGTGCTCTCCGAGCCCCACATCAACTCCGGCCCAATGCTGCGGTCTCCTCCGGCTGGCCCCCTGGCTGCTGGCTCTTGCCCGCTCAGTGCCTCTTCCTCATCACTTTAAAGCATGCCTATTTCCCCAGAATTTATCTTGGCTTATCATGGCTATCCAGGGAGCCCAGTCCAACCACACCGCCCTGGCACCACAGCCTCTGCACGTGGACTGGTCTTGCCCTTCTTTACTGTATGTAGTATGGGGAGGGGGACACATGTGATGGCATGCATTCAGAGCTTTGGTTTGATGGAGTTGGCACATAACAAGGGCTCAAGGAACAGAGCCTGGCTGAGAAGCAGTGCAGGCCTAGGTCTCTGCTCCCAGGCATCCCAGCACTCACCCTTCCAGGGGTGGGAATCTTTATTTCATCTGAGATGTGTGAACACTGCGGTAGAGGAGAGGAAGCAATAAGGCGTCCTAAGACAGGACAGGACAGGTGGCTGATGGGCAGGATCAGCAGGGCCTATGCCATGGGAGGCTGAGAGAGCCTCTCTCCATGGAACATGCTTAGGAGAGACACAGGCCCGTAATAGGACCATACAGATCTGCTGTCTTCTGTGCCAGGAGTGGTGGTGGAGGAGGAGAGAGAGATGGAGGAACTGAAAGCTGGAAGGCAGAAGGAAGTACACATACTCGGAGGAGAATGGAGCCCTTGGTCTGGGCAATTCTCAGCATACTAACCATTAAAGCCACCTCCTTACCCTAGAAGCCGCCCCAGAGTCAGGAGTTGCCCATAGAGGCAAGGAGGCGTGGCAGGAAAGGTGGCCGAGGCAATGGTCGCTACAGAAGGGGACAGGGATTGTGGGAGGGTGGTGATGGAGGCAGGGACAAGACTGAAGGAGTTAGAAGTGGTGATGGCGGAGGTGGCGGAAGTGAGGAGGTGATGGAGGTGGAGGTGGTGATGGAGGTAGTAGTGATGGTGGAGGTGATGGAGGTGGAGGTAGAGATGGGTGGAGGTGGTGATGGAGGTGGAGGTAGAGATGGGTGGAGGTGGTGATGGAAGTATAGAGATGGGTGGAGGTGGTGATGGAGGTGGAGGTGGTGATGGGTGGAGGTGGTGATGGAGGTGGAGGTAGAGATGGGTGGAGGTGGTGATGGAGGTGGAGGTAGAGATGGGTGGAGGCATAGAGATGGGTGGAGGTGGTGATGGAGGTATAGAGATGGGGTGGAGGTGGTGATGGAGGTGGAGGTAGAGATGGGGTGGAGGTGGTGATGGAGGTGGAGGTAGAGATGGGGTGGAGGTGGTGATGGAGGTGGAGGTGGTGATGGAGGTGGAGGTAGAGATGGGGTGGAGGTGGTGATGGAGGTGGAGATAGAGATGGGTGGAGGTATAGAGATGGGATGGAGGTGGAGATGGGTGGAGGTGGTGATGGAGGTGGAGGTAGAGATGGGTGGAGGTGGTGATGGAGGTATAGAGATGGGTGGAGGTGGTGATGGAGGTGGAGGTAGAGATGGGGTGGAGGTGGTGATGGAGGTAGAGATGGGATGGAGGTGGTGATGGAGGTATAGAGATGGGTGGAGGTGGTGATGGAGGTGGAGGTAGAGATGGGTGGAGGTGGTGATGGAGGTATAGAGATGGGTGGAGGTGGTGATGGAGGTGGAGGTAGAGATGGGATGGAGGTATAGAGATGGGTGGAGGTGGTGATGGAGTGGAGGCAGAGGTGAAGGGGGTTTTGGAAGTGGAGGTGATGACAGAGGTGGAGGTAGTGAGGGGAGATGGAAGTAGTGTTGGAGGCGGAAGTGGTGATGGAGGTAGAGGAAGTGATAGACATGTGGTTTGCAGGACAGATGGAGGTGTGGAGGGACAGGTAGTGGAGGTAGTTATTCAGGCGATGGGTGGATGTTGGGGTCTTTGTACTGAAGACCATGGCTGTGACAATGTAGTTTGTATGGCTAAAAGAATTTGGGCCTAAAGTTGGGAAGAGAGAAGCTATGGAAGCTCAGTTATGGAGCAATACTTGGGAGGTTCAAGTGTGAGACACACCTGCACCATCTGTCCTAAGTTCTTTGGGGGAGTCTTTCAAAATATTCTGGTCTGGGAAGGCTATTCAACTGGGCAGCTCCATGGCCAGGGCTGGGAAGGGGGTCGGGGGAGTCTGGTCGTCTGGTCTCTCCTGCGCCCGCCTGGCAGCTTGCTCAGGCCCACATCCACTCACCTCACCCCGTCCAGAGCCCCACCCCAGTGTTCACCGTGAGCGGCATGGCCTGGCGCCATCTATGCTGCGTTGTCGAGCTCTCTGGACCTCTCTTTGTCCTTGCTGCCCGCAGAGCTGCTCTCACAAGGTGGCCTGAGGCCCCTGACTCTGGGTCCCAGTGTGCAAACGGCAGGAAAAGAAGTTCCCAACTGGCCGCCAACTGCTCTTCACCTACCTCAGTTTACCAGAGGCATAAGCAGGACAAGCGAGGTGGGCTCCAGTGAGGGCCGGGAAGGCAATGCTGCCCAAGAAAGAGGCTGGAAGGGTCCCGGGAAGCCCCCTCTCCAAGGGGACCTGAGGCGGGCCTTCTTCTGTGTTGTCATGGTAACAGCCTCCTCCTGCCAGGCTGGGAAGGCCCTGGTGACTCATGGGCCTAACTGGGAACATGACAGGGCCTCCTGCAGGACAGGACAGGCTTGGTGGGAGGAAGGCTGGGGACCCACTGGCCCGGGCACTGGCAGGGCCTTCTGGTACCAGCTGTCTAACCTCGAGGCCCAGCATTGCCCCGGCTTCTCTCCAGTAGAGTGGACATCTGGCCTGGGTAGATGGCAGACACCGAGGCCGTCGCCCAGGGCCTGCCCCCGAGAGGGCTCACCACGGCTCTAGGAAACTCTGCCTCCCACCTAACCCCTAAGAGGGCAGTGCCGCACTCGGCTCTCCACGGGGGGGCTGGTGGCGGACACACAGCCTCTGGGGCCCAGTCAATCTGTGGAAGGTCTCAGTGAGGTGGGAGGAGGCCAAAGACAGGGACAGGGAGGGGCGGACAGACTGCAGATGCAGGACAGAACGGCTCAGGTCCAGCCCCTCCCTCACCCAGGCCACCTCCCCCCCCGACCAGGGAAAGGGGGTGCACCCTCCCATGGGGCAGGAGCACTTCGTGCAGGGCAGAGCCAAGTGCACCATGCCACCTCTGTCACCCAGCCCTGCAGGGCTCCCCTTCCAGCCCCTCCTGTGCCCAGAATAACCATAGCCGTGTCCACCTGTGCTGGCTTTATTACTCTGCCGTCATGCAGCCAGTGTGGAGACAGGAAGACAGCGCACATTGCTAAGGGTGGCACAGGCTGGCCATGCAAACGAATTTCCAGCCAAGCGCCAGGCAGGAAGAGCCCTCTCCCGCCTGGGTCCCCTTCCTGGGGCAGAGAAGCAGGGGCCCTGGAGACCTACGCAGCAGCCACACCTGGACCTGGGCTCGTACCCCTTCCTCTGCTCTCCCACAGACAGTGTCTCAGACATAGCTGTGTGCATTTCACCTGAACCGTGCCGGGCACAATGTTAAAATTGATTGCGTCTCTTTACATTAGCTTCACAGTGACAACCCAGAAGACAAGGAGTCCAGTGTTCATTATATCCAGGTTTGGCGTCTGCCTCCCCCCAGCCCCAAGCACCCAGAAACCAGATACGCAGTAGCACTGGGCCCCCTGTGGGCAGTGCTGGAGTTGCTAACCTGCAGGGCTGCAGGCCTAATCATGGGCTAGGAGACAGACAGACAGACTGACAGACAAATGCCACTGCTCCGGGAGCACATGGCTCAGAGTGCAAACTCTGGTCCTGAGGTCAGGAACCGGACACTCAGAAGCAGGAGCTCCCCCTACCCCTGTCCTCCGCTCTCTGGCCTGCAGCCTCCAAGCACCACTGAGAGGAACTGGCTTCCAGGCTAGCTACAGGCCCAACAGCAGAGGCCAGAGCCTGCAGGGAGGTGACCCGGGATCTGGCCAAATCAGGGAGAGGCCAGCGGCCACTTCCTCTGAGCCAGGCAGGTGAGATGAACACATCAAGCTTATCAGGAAGAGGGATAAAGACTTATCTGGCTGGCTCCACCCTCAGTGCCACTTGGGCAAGGTCTGGGGACCACGGGCATCCAGGCAACTCTGCTACCTGGTGACCTCCAGGGGGCTGGGGCTCCCCATGCTTCCCCCCAACCACTGAACTTCTGCAGTGAGACTTGCTTAGAGAGTGGGTGAGCCGACCACTGCCAAGGTAGCGGCGTGTCCTCCTCGTGCCGCCCGAGGCTGCAGAGAAAGGCGGGAGCCATGGCTCTGGCCTGGGTGGTCTACCCCCCCCCACTTCCACAAGCCATGCCCGACCCCGGAGGCCAGAGGCTGCCCTGCTTAGCGAGGCCCTGACTCATATTCTCAGCACTGTTTAGATGCCCTGGAGCCCCTGGGGTACCGCAGGGGTCCGGCAGCCTCCCGCACCCAGAGCTCAGCTCATAGCAGCGACTCATTTTTTTGCCTCCTTAGAAGCACCCTGGATGTCGTAATCAGGCTGCCATCCATCCACACAAGCAGTCACCTGCCAACCTCCGAGGTCTTTGAAGAGAACCTGGTTCTCAGGTCTCAATCTTCTGTACAAAGTTAGTGCATCAAGATTCACTTTCCACCCACCAATAAACTCCAGGGCCACTGGCTCTAGCCGGTCATCTTCATGCTGCCCTGGGGTCCTGCTAGGCTGTGCCCCGTGATGCCAGCCATGCCTCCTGGACCCCTGCTGGGTCTTATGGTGCCCCAGCCCTCCCGAGCAGGCTTCCTGCTGCTACCCACCGAGAGACACTCCTTCACAACGCCTTGTTGGCTGCTCACCGCCAACTTTCCTGTGGTGACACCAAACTCACAAAGACGCCAAGCGCATCAGAGGGGCAGCCGGGGAAGTCCCACCTCACACGGAGGATGCCTGAACCCAAGTGCGTGCACACACACACACACACACCCTGGGGACTTGGCAGGAAGGGACACTGAGGAAGTTTTCTTCTAGCCTAGGCAGGGCACAACCTGGCACAGGGGAGGCAGAGAAGTCACCAGTTTGGGCTCATCCCAAGCAGCAGCAGCAGCAGCAGCAGCAGCAGCAGGAATTTTCAGGTGGACACTTGGAGCCATCCAGCCTTGGGGGCTTCTGTCTACCCAAACTTCCTCTTCCATGCATGGTTCCACCATGAGGGCCTGCCCTTCCCTCCCCCAGCCCAGCCCCAGCCCCAGGCATGCAGGGGACCATCACAGCAGCAGGGACTTGACCAGGCCGTAGTGGAACTTGCGGACGTGGCGGTACAGGTCCCCGGACTGCGTGAACCGGCGCTCGCACCAGCGGCAGGCGTGCGGCTTCTCACGCGTGTGCACCACGGCGTGCCGGCTCAGGTTGTGCGAGTACTGGAAGGCCTTGCCGCACTGCACACACGTGTAGGGCTTCTCCCCCGAGTGCGTCCGCTCGTGCCTCTTCAGCGTGTACGTGCAGGAGAAGGTCTTGCTGCAGAGAGGGCACGTGGGCACGGTGCCATCGGGAGCCGGCCGGGCCCGGGCCCCGTCCCGTTCTCGGAAGTGGGCACTGAGATGCAGCTGCAGGGCGTGGGCGCTGGGAAACAGCTTGCAGCACAGCGGGCAGATGCAGAGGTGCCCGCGGGGACCCACCTCCTCCACGCCCGCCGCAGGCTCTGCGTCTAGCCCCAGCTGCTGGTTGCCAGCTTCACAGACGGGCAGCGACTGGGCGTCCGCGGCCCGCGCGGCAGGGACACAGACTGGGGGGCCCCGGGGGGTGCCGTTATCCTCCCGTTCAGACGTCGAGTCTGGCTCCTCTTTCATTGGCGGCGGGGCCCCTGGCTGCCCCCGGCTGCGGACACAGGGCTGGGGGCCGGGCTCCGGTCCCGGGCGGGGCCGGTTGCCGGGCTCTGGTCTAGGGCCGGGCTTCAAGGACAGGTCCAGGGCCCCGGACGACTCTCCAGGGCTCTGCCGCGGAGGAGGCCCCGAGGCCCGCAGAGCCAGGGCGGTCCGGACCCCTGCGGGCGGGAGCTCGGCTTTGCGGGCGGCCGGGCAGGGGGCGGCGGGCCGGCCGGGCGGCGCGGGCGGCGGGCCCCGGGCGTCCTCCCGCAGCCGGCCCTTGCAGACCCGGACGACGTCGTACATGTGCAGGTAGCTGGCGGCGGCCAGCACGTCCTCCAGCGGCAGGCTGCGCAGGTCCAGCCGGCCCTCGTACATGAAGTCCAGCAGGCGGCCGAAGGCGGGCGCCGTGACGATGTGGCCGTCGAGCCGCACGGTGCGGCGGCCGGGCCGGTGGCGGTAGAAGAGGTGGAAGTAGACGCTGCAGGCGGCCAGCACGGCGCGGTGCGCGGGGAAGCGCGCGGCGCCCACCAGCACGGTGCAGTCGCACAGCAGGCCCAGGGCGCGCTGCCGCCTCAGCCGCGCCAGCAGCCGCCGCCCGTGCCCCGGGAACTCCATGCCGCCGCGCGCCGCATCACCTGGGCACAACCGCGCGGGTCAGCCCGGCCGGGGCGGACGCGGAGCCGCGCGCCGCCCGCCCGGCACCTGCCGCCCCGGCAGGAAAAACTCGACCGAAAGTAAACAGAGCCGCGCCGCCGGGGGCGGGGCCCGGGGGGCGGAGACGCCGCGCGGCCCGGCCGGCCCGCGGACCTCGGCCCCGGGCGCCCGCGCGCCCCCCGACGCCCGCCCGCCGTCGCCCGCCGCCGGCCCCATTTAAGGCAGCGCGGCCGCGGGGAGCGGCTGGCGGGGCGGGCGGAGCCGGGAGTCCGCCCCCCGCGCCGCCCCGCGCGCTCGTCCCCGCCGCCTCCCCGCCCCCGCCGCCCCCGCTCCCTCCCCGGCGCCCCGCGCTCACCTCCGCGCCCCGCGCCGCGCGCCCTCCCGGGCCGGCCCCGCGCGCTCGGCTGCCCGAGGCGCGGCCCGGCGGGAGGCGCGGCGACCCGGACGGCGTCGGGCGGGGCGCGCTGGAAGTCGCCGGCCGGGCCGCCGCTCGCCCCGCCCCGATCGCGCCCCGGAGGGGGCGGGCCCGGGCCGCGTCCCGGAGCGCGGATCCGCTGAGGTCACCCCGCCGCCCCTGCCGGTCCGGGGACAGGGTGGGGGCTCTCGCGATACTTGTCGTCCGCCCCCCCCCCCCCGGGGCCCCGCGCCCCCGGGGTCCCCGCGGCGCCGGCCGGACTCCGCTCGCGGCTCGCGCTTGCTGCCGGCCCCGGGCCGTCCCGAGGAGGGCGCCGTCGGGACCGCCTGGAAGGCGGACGGGCCGGGGCCGGGGCCGGGCGCGGCGCCCGGGGCGGGGCGGGCCTCCGGAGGAAGGCGCCCGGCTTCCCCGACGCCCGCCCGGCTCGCTGGGGCCCTCTTCCCGCCCTGGAGCTCGGCGAGTCCCGCACGGGGGACCCCGCTGGGCCGCGGAGGGCACCCGGGCGGCCTGGGCGCCCCAGAGAGGCCGGGGCAAGCACCTGGGCATGGGGACACAGGCCAGGGCCGTCCTGAGGGCTGAGAGGACTCAGCTCTTCTGGAGGAAGGAAACCCCCAGACCACAGCAGAGCAGTGGGCTGAAGTCAGCCCCCCCCCCCCAGCTACAGGCACTCTCATTTTCATACCTTTTGGTGAGGGAGGGGAGGTAAGATGGCCAGGGTCACCGGGTCAGGTTTCCATTCTGGCTTTCCTCGGGCATGGATGCAGGACACGGAGACCTGCACAGCCAAAACTGCTGGGGGTGGCAGGGTGGGTCAGGGCTGGAGGAAAGGACCGGTATCTAGGTGAATGGGCAGAAAGGAACCTGGGAAAGCAGAGGGCAGGGCCCGGAGCCTTCCTTCTCGGGTACTGGGGGCGTTCAGTTGCCAGGTGGGGAACTCCTGTGGCACAAGAGAGACCTCAGGGGTCCTGTGTGCAAGCCTGAGCCGCTGCCAAGACCTGGAGCTCACCCTGGCTGTGAAGATTACAGGAGGACCTTGGGTACTGATGCTCAGGCCTGTAACCCTAGCTACTCGAGACTGAAACCTAGAGGATCCTGATTTGAGACTAGGCCAGGCAGAAAAGTTTGCTTGATAACATCTCCAGAATCAGCAAAAAAGCAGGATTGAGCCAGGAGCCAGCGGCTCAGGCCTGTAATCCTAGGCACTCAGGAGGCTGAGATCTGTGGATCATGCTTTGAAGCCAGCCCGGATAGAAAAGTCCTGGTGAGATTCTTATTTTCAATTAATCACTTCAAAACAAAGTGGAGCTATATCTCAAAGTGGCAAAAGCGCTCAGGGACAGCACCCAGGCTCTTAGTTCAAGCCCCAACAAGTGACCAAAAAAAAAAAGGTATGGGGAGGGGAGGAGGAAGAGTCTACAGAAGGAAAAACATCGTCATACTGAAAAAGATTCCTTGTTTATCTGAAATGCAAAGCTGACTGGATGTTTGTATGCTTATCCTAAATCTGACCACTGGAGCTCAGTACCTAGAGTCATGTGGCACTCAGACACTAAGACAGCCAAGAGGCAGCTGGGACCTGCTCTCACTTGAGTCCTCTCTATTTCAGATGCCCAGAGAGTTCTAGATGATGGCCTGATGCCACCTCTGAGCCTGTGTGGCATGGAGCCCTGTCTGCCCCTGCCCCTGTCAGCCCTGGGCATGACCTGGGGCCTCAGGTCTGTCCCTTGCTGAGCAGGCCCAGATGAGGAAAATGGACTCTGAGAAAATCCTGAGACTGTGAACATTCAAAGCGGGGCCTGGTACACACCAGTGTCTAGGGCCCTTGTTATTATCAGTCATATGCATTCTGCAATGTTCCCCAAAGAGCCTCCCACTGTCTCCTCTTCATTCCTGTCCCCAACTGAGGGCCACCTCCTTAGCCAGGGTGGTCTCCCTGAACCGCCACCCCATCCCGTGACCCAGTCTCTTTGCCTGACTGGCTTGCAGGGAGTCTGGTCAGTGGTCAGGCCAGGTGTGTACCCTGCTGTCAGGACTATGGCTGCTGTGTTGTTCACTGTTGTGTCTTTGGCCAGTCACAGAATGAATGTTCCACAAATGCCTGGTGGGTTGGTGATATGCTAATCCTCCCCAGTGGGGCCTCTTGCCTGTCCTACCTGGCTGCTGGAATGCAGAGCTGATCCTGCAGGATCCAGGAGGTCTGTCCAGCCGGGGACAGGCCGGGGGTGGGAGAGGGGACAGTGGGAAACAAGCCCCTGTGTCTCTCCGCTTGGAAAATCTGAGTTCAGGTTCCTCCTGCATGCCCACTCCAGGAGGAGGGGCAGACCCCGGCTGCTGAGTTGGTGCACGGAGCCTGAGGAGCCTCTGGCTCTAGCACCTCTGGGTTGGCCAGTGTGGTTCAGGTGCACAACAGGAGGCTGCCACGGAGCCCAGTTAGGTTGGCCCTGGTTTGGACAGAGCGTGTCCAGACTCAGGGCAACCATCTGGCCTGGGAGCAGCCAAGGCTCTGCCCTGTAGCAGCTGCCCAGACCTTGTGGCTAGGGACACTGGCCCTCAAGCCCTGTTGAATGCCAGCAGCTGTAGAAGGTGACAGGACGTCCCCAGTGCTTGTGGAGGGAGGCAGCGGTCCACCAGGGCAGAGGCAGCAGTTTTTTGCTAGAAACATCTGGCCGTGGAATTCGGCAGTAGTTCTGGCAGTAGCCGGGCTGCGCCCTGAGGTTGCTTTGTCTGGTGGGGCAGGAGGGAGTGTTCTTGAAGCAGGGACTTCCTGGAGAAGGGCCATGGAAGAGGTGGCCACTGAGAGGTTGGGGAGGGCAGATGCCCACGGTAGATGGGACTGGACGCGCTGGTAGGGATTCTGGCCGCACAGGGCGCAAACAACGTGGGCAGAGGCGCCTGGAGTGAGGATCCCAGGCATCTCCCACAAGAGGGCACCCTGCTGGCTCCCAGTGGTCACTGTGGCCACCCTGGCCCACGCCGTCCTGGGGACAGGGGTGGGGGGTGTGGAGAGTGCTGAGTGATGGACACAGGTCTGATGCCCCCAGAGCTAGCCTCTGGTGGTCAGTGTGGGCTGGGGCTCCGGCCTGGACCTCCGCAGCCTGAGCTTGGACAGCTCGCTGGGGGGAGGGAGCAGAACGGAGACCCCCAGGGGGAGCCGGGCGTCTTTCTCTTGGTCAGCCCAGGTGAGGGAGCGCCACGTCCAGCCGCTGACTCCTTCCCCAGTGCTCAGTTGGGTGTAACCTGACTCTGTTTACACCTATTCTCCCTCAGGTGAGCGCTGGGTGAAAAACAGAACTGACCCCTCTCCCAAAAACAGGCCGGCCGCGGAGGCTCGCGGGAGTCCTTGCACAAGAGGTCAGCATCGCGGTGGCCTGCGGCGGGGAGCCGCGGGCCCTCGGGGTCCTCTGGCCGCGCTGGCCGCCCCGACCCGGGGAGAGCGCGCAGCAGGAGGCTGCGGGGCTCGAACCCGCGACCGACACCCAGGCCGGGCGCGTCTCCGTCCCGGGCTCCGGGGATGACCGGCCGCGTCCCGGCGCAGCTCCCTCCGCGCCCCAGGCACCGGCCGGGCACGCGGGGGCTCCGGACGCGCGACCCACGGCGCCTCGCCCCGCCCGGCCGGGCCGGCCCAGGCCGGGGAGCGGCGGGGGGGGGGAAACTGAGGCCCGGGGCGGGCAGGCCCCGTTAGCCGCGGGCCGGGGCAGCGCCCGCCGGCTCGCGGGCGCCCGGGCCCTGGCCGCGGGCCACGCCGGGGGCGCCCGGGGCGGCGGAGGCGGATGTGGGCGGGCGGCGCGGGCGCGGGGCGGGCGCGGGGCGGGGAGAGGGCGGGCCGGCGGCGGCGGCGGCGGCGGCTCCGAGCGAGGCGGCGGGCGGCCGGCCCAGCGCAGCGGCGCCGCATCCCCGACCCCGGGACCGAGCAGCGCGCAGCGGGGGCCCCCGGCGTGGCCCCGAGTCCCGCCCGCCGCGCCGCGCGCCCGCCGCGCGCCCGCCGCGGCCTCCAGCCCGCCCCGCCCAGCGCCGCCCGCGGGATGCGGAGCGGCGGGCGCCGGAGGCCGCGGCCCGGCTAGGCCCCGTCGCCCGTCCGCACGCGGCGGCCCGGTGAGTGCCCGCGCCCGCGCCCGCGCGCCCCCCGCGCCCCCCGCGCCGCCGCTTTGTTCCCGGCCGCGGACGCCGCGCGCAGCAGGAAGTGGCCGAGCGCGGCCTGGGCGTGGGGCGGCGCGGCGGCCGCGGAGGCCCCGCCGGCGCGGGGCCCGGCCCGGCCTCCTCGTGACCTTGGCGGCCGCCGCGCCCGGGCCCGGCCGGGAGAGGGGCGCCGCGGCGGGGGGAGCGGGCGCCCGGGCGCGGCGGGCGGGCCGGGCAGGGGACCTCACTTCCCGTGGACGGGGCGCCGTGGCGGGGCGCCCGGCTGGCCCACAAAGGCCGAGCCGTCCCGGCTGGAAGCCGCCTGCCCTCACCGGGTGGGTTCCGGGGCCTGAGGAGCTGCCCACCCCACCCCACCCCACCCCACCCCAGAGCCCGGGCCTGAGGAGCTGCCCACCCCACCCCACCCCACCC